TTCACGTCTATATTGATGACCTTCTAATCGCATCATCAAACGTAGTTGAACATTATCAACATCTTATACTCTTATTCCAACGCCTTTAGGATAACGGAATAGTATTCATCCCAAACAAGTGTGAACTGGGCGAGGCAGAAATAAAATTTTCGGGTCGCATCATTAAGCATGAGGGTATTCTACCTTGTGAAGACAAAGTACGTACAATCATGGAGTACACTGTACCGTCTTCACTTGAGGAACTGAAGGCTTTTCTCGATTTGGTTAACTTCTACCGACGTTCTATTCCTCTCGCAGTAGAACAGTTACGACCACTAACTGACTTCGCGGTAATCCACGTAAATTAGAATTGAACGATGCCGCGCGTACTGCATTTTTAGAGATAAAAGCTTTAGCTGAAGCCACGCTCCTCGCCCATCCAGACCCATCAGCCATGCTTAGTATAGCGGTTGATGGATCAGATTTTACTATAGGAGCCGTTATGCAACAGAACATCTCTGGAAGTTGGCAACCTCTCGAATTTTTCTCACAACGCATTACTCTCACGGAGACGAGATATAACGATTTAGGTCGCGAACTGCTAACAGCCATCAAACATTTCCGGCACGCAGTAGGTCGTAACATTATCCTTTTCACCGACCATAAGCCTCTAACGTATGCTCTGCATACCAAGTCTGACCGCTACTCACCATGAGAGTGCAGACATTTAGACTAAATCTCTCAGTTCACGACAGACCTTCGTCATATTAAAGGCGAGTCGAACTATGTTTCCGATGCTCTGTCACGTTTTAGTGCCTCCACATATATTTGAGTTCGCTTACATTTAATTTAGTTAAGCCTTTCGATTAATTTATTTAACCAAGCCATGTGTATAGCAACAACTTGTATGTACCATTGGTTTTTAATGTTGTTTGGTTTGTATGAGCTGGTAAGACTGAACATTTCCTACGCCTACGCGCATATTCATGCCTATCTCGCTTGTTTCATGTCTGTTTTACTTTTGTCTGACTATAAATTCTTAGTCATGCTTTATCTCTGGGACTTGGCTCACTAGTCTTCTCCAGTGCGCTTCACTTTGCTTGTACGCTTTCCGTCGCACGTTTGTCTGCATAAATGATTGCACGAAAGAAATTCATCCGTTAAACCGTATTTGGCCTTTTTATCATTACCGTCGCACAAACGGAGTAACCCTAAGCATAATATACGGAAGTGGGAAGGAAGATTTATTTCATCACTCACTCGATCATTTATCCACATTTAAGTTCAGTAGCGAGCCGCGACAATGTATTCAAGTGAATGCAGTTACTTAACCGGTGCTTGATCTCCCTGTAATAGCCGCTGCCTCCTCCTGATACCTTCTGTGCAGAAGCACAACAATCTACACCCCTTCAGTGCCATGAAGTGCCCCAGAGCACTAGCTCAGGTACTATCTTGTGTGATAACTCTACTGGTTTGTCCCGACCCGTTATACCCTCTGCTTATCGTCGTCTTGTCTTCGACGCCCTTCATGGATTGCCTCATCCAGGTATCGCAGCCATATTACGTCTCATCGCTGCACGATACGTCTGGCCGTCCATGAATAAAGATATCCGTATATGGGTGAAACAATGCTTACAATGTCAACGATCAAAAGTGCACAGACACGTAGCCGCCTCTATCGGCACATTTGCTACGCCTGATGCTCGCTTCGATCATTTTCATACTGACATTGTAGGACTATTGCCACCATCGCATGGGTATGATCACATACTCACATGCACCGATCGTTTCACAAGGTTTCCCGAAGCTATTCCCATCACTTCTGTTACGGCGGAAACAGTTGCTCACCGTTTCGTAGAACGATGGATAGCGCTGTATGGTTGTCATTCGACTGTCACAACTGATCGAGGACAACAGTTCGAGTCCGAATTATTCTCCTCGCTAACCCGGCTGCTTGTTACGGAGCGCATACGCACTATCGCCCGCCATCCAGCTTCAAATGGTTTGGTTGAACGGTTTAATCGCCAACTTAAAAACGCTCTTCGAGCACACGAGAACAACAGTCGGTACGAAACCTCACCGCTCGTCCTCTTAGGTATCAGAACTAGCTTAAAGGCAGATATTCAATGTTCCGCCGTTGAAATGGTATACGACGCGACATTGCGTCTGCCTGGGGAATTTTCATACCACAGAGCAGTAATAACTTCAGTAAGTCAGACTACGTCCAACGATTGTCTGAATTTATTCGAACACTGCCTCCGGTGTCAACTCGAGTACAACATTGACAGGTCGCTCTCCCTCGAGATTTATCTACCTGTTCTCACGTATTCATACGAGTCGATGCGGTACGCAAAACTTTGCAGCAACCTCACGAAGGACCTTTTCACGTGATTTCTCGTCATGAAAAGACCTTCAGGGTTACTCGACATGGCCGGGTCGAGATCGTTAGCATTGATCATCTCAAGCCAGCACACGTCAATGACAGTGCCCTACTTGCTAATCCGAGACTCAATGCTAAACCTATCAAACCTACTAGTGGGATCCCTACATCTACTTTGGACCTCATGCTAGATAAATCAGGGACTTCATTCTCACGTCCCAATCAACAGCACGCGTCATTTGCACTATCTACGGATGAGACTCAGGTCTCACGTCCAGATCAGCAGACCACGCTGCCCTTGATTTCGGATGCGATTGCTGGCTCACAAGGTACGCACAAGACTGCCGTCTCGCGTTCGAGTCACCGCGTACGCCTACCTGTACGCTTTCTCGAATAACCACCTAGGCAACAATCGATACGCAATAGGACACCATCCTCATGCTACATATATGCTACACATTTTTTTTTCTTTCATTTTGTATCCTGAGCTCATGTCTACGACCATCGCCCTGTTGGTACCGTCGACTTCAGTCAATCTTGGCGAAAGCAGGCCTGGTCACCCACGCTCTTTTCAACGCACCCAGTCGATGTTCTGGTTTCGAGAGCAACTAGAAAAACTGATAGGCAGCTCAGAATGATAACTAGAAAGCTGTGAAAACAGTGATATCTGTTAGTAAGGTGAATCAATAGGTTAGTGAGGAGCTGTGGAATTCAGTAGCATCTACCGAACTGATAGATGCTTGGAAACTCATTCTCTCTGGCTTTGAGTACGATGAAGAGCGAAGTTAGCTTAAGCGCAGGCTGATGAAGAGGATTCTCAATGGTCGCGAACAGTGGGTTGTGAGAGCAGATGAGATGAAAGAGGCATCGGCGATAGGTAGCAGTAGACAACTACTCAGACTTATCAAGGAAACCGGTATTAGAAATCCGACAGAATCTCTCAGAAAAAAGATGGACTGTTATTTACGCTCAATCCAGGCGATCATATCAGTGTGCAGACAATTTTAGGGATCAGTGCAGTTGGCCTTCGGCCCACGATCTCCAGTCATACTGAATGGCAAATCGATGTAAGTCCTCCGACCCTTTATGATATTGAGAAAGCCGTAGGAAATCTAAAGCGAGGGAGAGCAGCGCGTCCTGACAGATTGACCCCTGAGATTGTTAAGGATAATGGTCGGTCCAGTCTTAACAGTTAGATTGACTAAGATTTTAGGTAGAATTTGGGAATTAGGCGTAATCCCATCTGACTGGTTTCAATCACTGATTGTCCCAGTTTATAAGAAAGAACAAAAGTCCTCTTGGGTCTGTCGACCGTGAGTTTCTGTAGCAGTGTCTGTCATCGAAAGATGTGCCAAAGAAGTACATTAACCTCGCAAAGGCTCTGCTCGAACACTACTAGTCTATTGAGAGCTTGAGGCAAGCTGTCATCGGATTTGATAACTTCAAGTGGTTTTCTATCAGGGTTTTCCATTTTCTCCACTGTTTTCAACCTCGTTATAGACATGCTTTTGGAGACTACGCTTTCATCGTCCGACTTTTCAGCAGTTGAGTTTTTACCAGGAGACTCGTTTGTTGATTTAGAATATTCCATCGACATAGTCTACTTGGTGAAGACGCTGATAAGATTTAGTCTTCTGATCACTGTAAGCAACAATGCAAGTATGTTAGGGATGCGATTCTACCCCTCAGAATGCCAAGTTTTTGGAGGTTAGCTTGCGTCGGCCCTTGAATCAATGATGGGGAGTGAACTAGTTGGGCTTGTTGACCGCTTTACTTGTCTTGGGAGTCTTATCAAAGCAGATGACCTGGTGTCTGTCCAAGTCTCGGCACTGATACAGAGGTTTAAACTGGCTTTTGCCAACCTGTATAACCTAGAACATGGGTGTGATATTCCTCTGTTAACCAAAGAACGAGTCTACTGTGTAGTAGTTCGCTCCGTCTTACTATACGGATGTGAAACATGACCATTAAGAATAGAGAATATTCCTAGGTTATTAGTATTCGATCATAAGTGTCCTCGAAGTATTGCTCGTAAATCATGGAACAATCGAGTAAGCAATGCCTTTGTTAGGAAACGGATATTAGGCGAGGATAGCAGATCAATAGATGAAGTAGTGCGTGTCTGTCACGTATACCTAACCACCGACTACCTTGACGTGCGGTGTTGTCTGATGTAAAGTTAAGCTTGAAGAATGTTAGGTGCAACCAAAGCATGCACACACTCATGAAGTCACTGACAACTGGGCTGAGCTATGTTGGTAGGTGTGGAATAACCGGCGGGGGTCCGCGAGACAGTGATAACCGATCGTTAGACTTTGAAAGGGATGGCTCAAAATCATTTGCAATGGTGCAGGTGTATCCATTCTTTGTTCTCTTAAATACTATGCTTCTGGATTCCTGATGACTTTTTTTATTTTTAAATGTATTTCAATGGATTATACTTCTCGCATCATATCTTCAGGCCGACACCGGTTTATGGAACTGGGTAGTATACCTAGCCCTGGCAGTTAGTGTGTCTTAAAGCTAAATACATGAACTTCCACCTGATAAGTGCGATAGTAATAGTAATAACATTCTATAGAGGTTACGCAACTATTGAATTCATTTCTAGTTTATCCTATAGTAAATTGAAAAGATTTCATTCCATTAAAAAATAAAATTTATTAAAAAATCAAGCCAAACAAAGAATATTCGTTAGAAATCAAAATCAACGCCAAATCCAGATATTTGTACATATTACATTGTTATCTATTAACGTTTTAGTATAATTTCTCATGATCAATATTACTATTATTATTATCAGTAGTTGGTTTGATATGATACAAGTTTAGCAAAATTAAACCATTAGCAGGCGAAGCTCAGCATCCGGATATGTATGAGCGTGTGCGCATGAAGAGTCATGTATATATATATATATATATATATATATATATATACACGCAGGATAGAAAATATCTCAGAAAGAGTCGGTAATTATTTCGTTGATTCTATAGTAGTCATGTTGAATGACACGAAGGTTGGTAATAGAAAATAAACAAGTTGTGAGCAAATACAAACACATTCTGAGTAAAGTCATAAAATTTAACAGTTTTATAACTGTGGCGTATATTCTTATTGGAGCAGCAGTTGGAGAAGTATATATATATATATAACTATTGTTAGTAGTTTTCTGAGTTCCTTATGAAGGACATTCAGTAAGTTAGAAAATAAAAAAATCTATATCTATGATAATCATTATGTATAGTGTTTGTTATTTATGTGAAATAGGAAAGCCAGATGAAGGTGAATATGGTGTCCTACGGTAGGTTGGTTCTTGTATATTAGGCACCTGATGATAATTTATTCGTCCTGAATTGACTTTTCTATTGTCCGGATAACTTGTTTGGACTGATGAGATTAACGGTTGTCTTTTCTTTGATTCAGCTGCAGTGTATTGACCGAGTCTTTCGGTTGCTTCTGCAGGTGGTATTTTTGTTCGTCTTCGCATGAAACGTTTACGTTTAAAGAAACCAGCCTAAAATAGTGCAAGTTAATATTGAATTTATCGGATTTAAATTGTTTGAATGTTAAGTTTTTAAATAAAAAGAAGCTATCTAACTGTTATGAATAGTTTTAGAAATTCAACGTTCACTGGAGTACACCACTGACCATTTGTTTGATATATATCTATAATAGGGATCAAGATCAACCTCGTTCAATGTTTACATTTGTTTAATCCGTCATCATGAGCAACTGATACTCTCCTATTCTTGTTAGTCATTTTATTTTCTTAACAAATAACGATAGTTTTGATTTGATTAAGGTAGAGTTAATCATTAAAAAAATCCCAATGTTTCATTTGTTTACCACTGATTTATTCTTTTAAGTGAATAAATATATGAATTCTAATCACTGATCAATTCATTATCGGAATACTTTAATTTGAGGCATTTTGAATAGATTTCCGGTTGAGTCTAATTTCAAAGCAATACAATAAACACTTCATTATTTATAAGCGTAAACTGAACAACGTTTATTCGTTGGAGTTGGTTTCATTTTATCAACTTCCTTACTTTTTACTGTTTATCCAATATGTTTTGATATGACAAGTAAAAGCCACTGACTATCATCACTCATTAATCGTTAATGTAAGATGCTATTTAACAAAGAATAAATTCTCATGGATATTTAAACAGTAAATAGAAATTTCTAATGAAATTCCTTGACCTAAAATCTATTCGTTAATTGAAAATGAAATCGAATATAGTCTGTTTTTAGTTTCTTGATAGATTGAGTCTCATTAATTGTAAGAACAATTATTATTATTATTATTTTTTCTTTGTTTCAACTCTAATTATTATTTGTAATCAAGTCAAAATCAATCTAGTCACAAACATCATGCAAATATATATATATCTATCATAGGATACCATTAACAATGAATAATTGTTCAAATCGATAAACGAAAAAAGTATTTCATGTATGTCTTAATCAATTTCTATTGATAATTAACTTACTTTATAAAGTATAATAATTAGAATGGATAAGAGTAATAAACCACCGAATACCGCTAATCCTATATATAATGCCATATATTTTGGAGGTATTGGTTTTTGTTCTAAATTATTGAATATATGAATTTCAGCCTAGTAAAATATAAATAGAGAAGAGAAAAAAAAAGAGTTGAATAATCAAATCAAAACAAAATAGAGTAACAAACAGTTTTAGCAATTATTCATTTAAACTAGAAAATGTATGTCAACAAATAGAAATACAATAGTACAAAATTTATATATATATATATATATATATATATATATATATATATATATGGAGAGAGAGAGAGAGAGAAAGAGACAGAGAGAGACAGAGCTTTTGAGAAATAACATAATTACATGATGAAAATTTCATTTCATTACATGGTAGAAGTCGAGCATTCTTTTAGTTCTTGATGATATTGGGTATGTGTGTGTTTTTGTGTATATACAGAGAACATGCAATTTTATACGCACAGTTTTTTAACATCTAGTAAATTTAAGTTTACTTCTAATGAATATGTGGAATCAATACTCATGGTTTTTTTTACAATTACAATCATTTTGTATATATTTAATTATCAAATTTTTTTTTAAACCAAACAACAAATGAAAGATATATTTTGACAGTTCTTTCGAACAGATAACGATCAACATTATCTTACAGGATGAATGATAAAAAATGTAGTCACTACATGTGATTAACGATAATAAATTTTCTACGAGTTTTTTGAGTAAATTAATGAGAAAAATCCTAACAGAAACAAATGAATAGTAATTTACAGGTGTTTCACCACAAATACAGAATTCTGACATGCAGAAAAAATATAGTGAATAAAATGTTAAGAAAAAGTATGTGATTACGTATTTTCATTCACTTTATTCCCGTAGAAGTGAATTATTCAACAGTAACATTTTAAATTATAATTATGAAGTTCTAATGAATTGATACAAGTGGAAATGCTTTTATTCTATGGGATTCGGGTTCAGATACAATTTATTCTAAAATCAAGGTATTAACATCAGTGAAACTAATAATGATATGTGAATGTTAAATTAATTAAAACTCATACCTAGAGTTAGTTTTAAAGGTTGTTTCAATTTTTTAGGGATGGATTTCACTACAGTCAATGACCGAGCTACCGAAAACCGTACAGTAAAATACGAAACTCATACTAGTCTAGGACCCTTCAACAGTGCGCGTTCATGATGTCACTAGATAGCACGCTTAGAGCTTTCAGCGTTATCTTTTGATTACTGAGTGATTTTCCGATGGCCTGGATTTCCAACTCCAGTCAATTTATCATTCAGTGGAACCATAGTTGAGTGTTATTGGTGGCACTTTCCCCATTCTGGATATTAGTGCAAGACTAGAAGGCCAGTTATATTTGCTTTAGTTTCCTGTGCTTATTAATTATATAATAGATAACTTTTCTACAAATTCGTTAATCTTCATAGTTGCTGGAAAGTGTTTCATTACATCAATACGTATGTTCGTAAATAAGTTTCAAATTTTTCTTTAACACGATCTATGAGAACGATGGATTTGGAAGTGATGATGAATATCCGTTTGTATCGCTGCTGAAGGCTGGTAAAGTTATAATTGATAGACTAACTGCAGTTGAAGTGTGTTTAACCCCTGAATCCTAATTCAACAGCTATTTATTTACTAAGAGGTTTGCAGTTAAATTTACATGATTAAAAATAAGACATGTTAACATCTATCTATATCGTTAATTAATACTGACCACTTCATGATTTATAATACCGGGTATACAACTTGTCAACTTGTAATAACTACATTTTTTTAAAGCACTAATGATTTAATATTAAATAAATGTACAATGAAATTGATAATCAGCGAAAAATTTCCATGATATTTTTAGACATGCAGACATAAAATTATTATAATAGGAAATTGTTTTCACACAAAACACGCTCACGAGTCAATAAACAAACAGTTAATATATGATATATGTTGATAAATTCGTATATACATTTATGGAAATGTACATTATAATGCATAAGAAAATATATAAACAATTGTTGGGCAGTAATTGTTCAGTTAAAGAGAATTAGAATATTTGTATTAATTGGTGATTAGTACAATTTTCAATGTTCAATTTTCGAATTAAGAAGAGTATTGTTATTATTACACAGATTTTTGGGATAATTGGTAAACATAATATAGACTTATTGTTATATTCAATATGTAGTCCCTATTAATGTACCAAAAAAACTTATAAAAATAAAGTTATCATATAAAATCGCTAAAGATGAACTGCTCACTATGTTAACTGTTGGAAGTTTCTGTATGAACATTGGTTTATCGTTCGTATGAAATTCAAGTATACAATTTATTCATTCTAAGAATGTATTTTAAATTTTACAATATCTAAAGATGGTGCTTCATTTATTATTAGAATCAAAATATATAATCTTGTTGAAAAGTAAATGTATCATTTTGTTTAACTATTGGATAGAGTGCTTTTGAATTCTACTGTATGCAACAGCATTGACTAATTATTTCATTCTAGGTCTCAACTCTTCACTGAAGTTAAGGTTAAATCATTAGATCGTCAAGTTTTATGATAAGCATTTTATCATTCAGCTACTCGATCAAAACTTAGCCATCTAATAATTGACAAAAATAACGATCAATTTGCTAACCGACTTGAAAGTCTAGTTTGAGAATTTAATCTGCAATGGAGTATACAATTTCGCTACATAATATTTCTGAACTAAAAAACCAATCGTTATTCAGTGCTTCTCAATCTATATGGAATGTTCATGATGAAAAATATCTTTATACAGAAAAGAAAACACTTGACTGAGTATAATAATAATTTTGTACAATCTATAGCTGTATTGAATACAACAATTTCATTCACAACCAATCAAAACACAACTTATAACATTTTTAAAACGATTGAAAATAGTTCAGATTAATTGAATATCAATCATCGTAATTATGATTTTGTAGCTTAGAATTAAAATAATATTTATTAATTATTCAAATATACATAAACAGTTGAAGAGAATACAATTGAAGAACTGATATTTTTTGAATAAATTAGCCTAAATAAAGATGTAAGCAAATAAAATTAAATAAATAGGTCAACACTGTTGCAAGTTTTTTTTTTGCACTACTTTTCCAATGCATTTATTATATTCATCACAATTTATGTACATGTATTCATGGCGCTATTCAGTTCTCAAAAAATTGGATGTATTTTCTAATTATTAAAATATCCAATTAAGATAAAACAATTGTGATTTTGAATGATATTGAGAAAAATTTGTTTCATGAAAAATTTGAAGTGTTCTAGCACATAGGTTAACTTTTGTGTCATGTGATGAAGTACGTTACGCGCATAATGTATATGTTATCGTCAGATTTTTCAGCGCTTGACCTTCTACTAGGAAAATCGCTTACTGACCTAGAATATGCCGATGACATAGTTATATTCGTTGAAGACGCTGACAAAATGCAGAGTCTTCTGACCACCCTAAGCAACAATGCGAGCATGTTCGGAATGCAGTTTTCCCCGTCGAAATGCAAAATGTTGCTTCAAGATTAGGTTGCATCGGCACCTGAACTAGTGATAGGGAGTGAAGTAGTCGAGCGTGTAGACCGCTTCACTTATCTGGGGAGTCTCATTATTGCTGATGGCCTGGTGACTGACGAAATCTCAGCTCGGATACAGAAGGCATGGTTTGCTTTTGCCAACCTGCGCCATTTATGGCGCAGGCAAGATATTTGTGTCTCTGTGCTAATTTGGTTTGGCAACATGAACTGATGTAAATACGTACGAAGTTCTACGTTGCAACTGACTAACTGTATTTGTTGTCATCATTCCATTGTCAATTCTAATTTATAATTTGTACCATTTTGTATGGACAGAAAATACAGTTGGAATTAGTTTAAGATCTTGTCGATACACCGCAGATTACTGTAAGTTATTGTTACATTAATTTTAGGATCAACCAAATTTAACCGTAATTTCAATATGCTAATCAGTTAATAATAAATTTAAACATATAAACAATTTTTTTTTAGATTTAAGATAAAATGTATCATAATTCTTATCGAATTACTTAAAGCTGGAATAAAATGCATAATTGATTAAAAGATAAATGATAAGAGGATAAAATCTGTGTAATTCCATTAACTTACTGTATCCTGAGCATAATCTGAACCGCCAAGATCTATACCATATTTAACATCAGCTCTCCATGTTGCAGTCAAATGTAGTTTGGTTAAAAATACTTTTAGAAAATCCTAATAAATGAATCAATAAAAGGTCAGTTAAGAAAGGTAAGTATTATTTGAAATTACTAGTATAAGATTTGTGAATATCGTTCTATTTTGTAATATCTATCACGGACTAACCAATCAGAGTTGAACATTTGTTTGGTCTTAGCATAGGATTTTCCAGCAGTGTATATCCGCAACCGTACCAGAGGTCGATTGCGCAATCATCAGGTTTCACGATAAGCTCTTAGTCTTCAAATCATTAGGCTGGTATCTTATTGGTTTACATATCAAACTTCAATTCGCTATGTTGTGAAAACATCAGTTTTACTTGTGAACTGATTATATAAGTTTACTGATGGCTAATTTATTTCTATTGATTTGTATACCACTTGGTATACAAAGATTTATGCTACAGGTTGTGTTCTAATCTGTTACCTTGGTTTTTCCGTCAGAGCTTTGGAGGTTTGTGTTTTTACACATTTGAAATCATCAATCAATCATTGTCAGACCGAAGCTCTGCCTGAAAATATCGTAGCAGTGCTCACTAGTGACTAGCTTCGTGCGGAAATTTTCGGAGTTCTAGTTGAGAAGACGTGGCTAATGGAGTTCAACCCTGTCGGGTGTAGGCAGCAACTACTAAAGACAAATGGGTGAGGTCGCGCAAAATCCGTAGACCAATCAGAGTTAGACATTAACACCGTTGGATTCCGGTCCGGTGGTCCGATGGTTAGGCGTTCGCGCACAATACTGAAGGTCCCGGGTTCGAATCCTGCGAGGTGCAGGAGTCGTGGATGCGCACTGCTGATGAGTCCCATACCAGGACGAAACGGCCATCCAGTGTTTCCAGGTTTCGAATGGTGGTCTATAAATGATTGATTGATGAAACCTTTGTTTTCCTATTTTATGCTTGAATATCCAAATTAGCTTAATAAACACCAATGTTTCAAGTGGTTGTTGAATTAATGTCATTCTATGATGATGTAAAAAACTAAGAATTCATTTTATCTTTCATTTGTTGACATTAGTTAGATGTTGGCGAGGCTGACTCTGTTAAAGCGTGTTTTGGACAAGATCGCATTACAGTGCGCTGATCGGTCCGTTTTTTAGTTAATTAGCGCTATCGGATGAGCTGAGAAGGCATTAAAATATTCCTGCGTCAAGCGTAAATATACACTGACATTTTTTCACGGTTTCAATTTAACCGAACGTGTTGTTTTTTGTTGAAGAATCTAAAAATAATAACCTTCAAAGTCTTCCCAATCCCGGAAACACCAAGAAATGTTTTATCTGTGCAGCATTGAATAGAGGTGTCTACGTGACATGTAAAGATAATAGGATCGCGTGTAACTTTTTCAATCGGATATGTTTTCAGAAAGTTCTCGAAGGTTAATGTCATACAGAACTCCATAAATACGCCCAACTTTCTATAGATAAGCAATCTTAGTTGAGATGTAGAAGTAGTTTAAGGTTATAGGAATCGGCTTGGAAATCAGTATTGAGCGTTCTAGTGTCAGACTTAACAAGCTTGAAATATATTTATGTTTTGTTTAAGTTGTTTTTTGATTTGAGAATCAGTTGAGTGAAGCAAAGTGTCAGAAGATATTAGATAGTAGAAGAATGCAAGGCCTAAGGGGGGGGCGTTTGGCAATGAAGCAACACTGAAAACCTGGGAGTACTGAATAACATTTCTATCCTAGATTCCTACGAAAATAGTTTATATTTGGATATTCAGACACAAAATAGAAAAAAGCCCAGTGTAAATCATCATTTACCAAATAGCATATAAGTAACAATTGACGTTGATTCAGAAAAAAATCTACATTACAATAATATTCGAACAAAAAGTATCCACATGATCAATGCGTAACAAACCGATTTGGCTATCAGACTTATTTATTTACTAGTTGAACTTTAATTTCACTCTAATTACTTAATAGTTTGGTTATTACAATGAGTTTTATCATTCATTAACTTATCTCTACATGTGTTATCATTGCCTAAAGCATCGCATTATGAAAAAGAGTGAAAACAAAATCTTCATTAAGACATGATAACAAAAAACTAAACTTCCAAATTATTGATTCTTTAATACATCTGAGTCACTCATAGCACCTTACAGCTACTCAAATTTCAACTACACAATGACAGTTTTTTAAATTTTCAAATGTTATAAAAAGATTTTATCACTAGAAAAATTACTTTATCATCAATGAAATCATTAAAAAAGAAAAAAATCAAACTGTGTTCTTCATTGTGAAGTGATTCTACCACCCAAGTTGTCATAGAATTTGGTTTTGGTGATTGATACATATAAACATCACCACCAATAGCACACAGCTAAAGTGATAATGATAATATGAAATTTCTCGCGAACACCAAGGTGACAGTAAAAATTTACAAAAAGTTTTCTTAACTTAAAAGTATTTAAAGTGGTAAAAACAAAAGCAACTAGGAAGAATGAATCTGAAATTAATGTTAATTAAAATTAACTGTAAAATTTAAATTGACAAGATCATTTCTAAGTGCAGTTATGTTGGGGATGTTAGATCCGCAGAACTCGCTTGATAAGTGCCGTATTTTGGATTTCACGTTTGCGAGCTTGGGATGATCAGTTGACATTGAAATTTCATTCCCCACCAGGAAAATCCTTGGCTGCTGTGTATTTTAGTGTGCTATTTTCGTAACTGTACCAAGGACGTTTCTATGATGTATAAACAAACGAGAGTTGTGTGCTTGATTGTATTGTGATTGCTGGGTGTTAGTAGAATATACTTTCTACGCTTACCAAGTCTTCTGTTTTGCAGTTTGGGATTCAAGGTAGCCTACCTGGACGCTGGTTCATTGTCTCGTTCGCGTTTATTGACTAAGGTGAACTCGTAATAGCTTCAAGAGTACCAAGTGACGAACATAACAAGTTAGCTTCTTTGGCGAGTAAAAAATACCAAGTTAGGTTAGGGACAATATTATTATTGACAAGAAGTTTATTAACTATCATCATCAAGAGGTGAGAATTTCTTTGTCAAAAACATTTTGCTAGTACATTTTACTGAAGATCGATGTAATTTTTGTTTTTTTTATTATGGATTTTGATATTTGTGTTCTTAAATCACTCTCTTTTCAGAGTCATAACATATTGGAAATCGTATATGATAAACAAGAAAGTCTGTTAGGTAGGGCAATTTTTTTTTGACAGACTGAGAGAATTATTATTCTAAGTCAATATTCATGTTAGCTCTCCAAACTAGATACGTGACTGTTGTTGCTTAAAGAAATGTATCATTAAATATTACTAGGTTGATATGATTAGTCATGTTGAATAGTCAACAATTATTTGATTTTGCAGAGAATGAATCGTTTATTGACAATGTCAACTGCGATTCATTATTGCGAACGATTTTAATTATATCCTTATTCAATATCAAATGAGATAGTTATATTATAGTGAGGATGCATTCAAAAGACAGAAGATCAATAAAATCAAACTGATGGTGTAAGAAATTATGAAAAAAAATAATGAAATCATTTAAAACTAACTTCTCGCATTGTATTTTCCCAGAGTCTAGCAATAAATTCAAGTGTAATTGGTCCAGCTTTATAGGATAACTTGCCTAAATCACAAACAATTGGTACACATCGTATACGTCCATTATAACAACTCTAAAAATGTAATGGTATATTTAAACGATATTAAACAGTGTAATAAAAAACGAAACGAAAATACGTAAAATGATCTAATCATAGATTAACAAAATAAGTTAGTAATATGTAAATTATTTATCTAAAGAATGTGAATAGATGTACTATTGGTAAAGTGAACAACTAGATAGAGATTATGAATCAAAATTCATTTAATATCAGGGAATTATGACCAGTTTTCATCAGGTAAATAGACTTTAACAATAAGCATAAAAATTAAATGCCGAGTAATTAAATTCAATCGGCAGGAAAACCATAGTTAGTCATATGTGACTGATTTCCTGAGGGATTAAGGTCTCTAGACGCTCCATACTGTTCAATCACTTAATCTGGATGGTTGTAATGGGATTAAATTGGTAGGATGTGTTTAGCACTAAAAATACATTAATATAACCACCACAAATTGAACAAATAGCGCATTTATTAAAACTAATATACAATCTTTAATTGTTTTCATACAGATCAATACTTACAATGGTAGTCATTTTTCGATCAATTAATTTCTTTGAATCTGTTAAACGATCAGGTACTGGTTCTAGGGTCATTTTATTTGATAGTGGAGGATATGGAGATAGGTTTTCAGAAGGGATATCAATCGGTGCAGTTCGTACAGGTACACCATCATTTGATTTCCTTAATCTAGAAAATATCTTGGAAAGAAAACAATAAAAATAACGGTACAACTATATCTTATATAGTTCATATGTCCAATAAGTGTGATGATGTCATGATGTCCGTCATGAGTCAGTTTCTGAAGGACAGATAGTGAATGGTGACTACTACGTCAAGGTTACTAAGCACTAGAGGGATCGTGTATGAGTAAATTTATGAGGTCTTGACCACTGAACTATGACAAAGCTTCTGAGTTTCTAACAGTAACTACCCGCAGGTTCCTGACTCCTAATATCATCAACACGTCAGATTACTCTCTAAACTTAGCCTCTACTGATTTTATTTTGTTCTGATAATGTAAAAATATTCAAGTAGGTATTCAATGTGATGATAGACTGTCAAGCAGCGAAATATCTAAAAAAAAGCAAATTGTCTAGAACACAGAGATTATTTACTCCATTATATAAATGAAGATAACACAAGTGCCTTTCCACAAATGAATAGAATAAAACTGATACACCTTGAATAAGATAAAGTTTTTTAAACTTTACTTTGTGTATTAAGTTGAACAAACTACTATTGTTTATGCAGTAGACTATATATGATCTTCAACTATGTTGTTTGTTCATTGACTTTAATAGTATGCAGTATGTTCGGATAAAAGAATCACTACATTTTTATCATGCCCAATAGTTTACTTCTCAGGATTTTCATAGTACTGATATTATTTAACGTAGATATATTAAAGATATTCAGACTGAGTTGACTAATATTCAGCTGGCAGTTATGCAGAACGATACATTTCATTTAGCTTTTTAATCATGGTTACGTCAATAATAATCATGATTACAGTGTAGTAGAAAAGCGCTGAGTAATAATCCTGTATAGGTTCATGTAAGCATTTATGAGCTTCACCTGTAGCTTGAGGATTAAGAATAGTTTTTGAACTTTTAGACTGAAATAAGTGTCAAATCGGGATCTGTTGATTCCTGATCGGTCATGTGAATCTATTTCCAAAACTTTACGGAAGATAAGTAACATGAATTACTAAATCACATAATCTTCAGAATAATTTTATGTCAGTAAAAATTACATGATGTTTCAATCCCACTCTAGTTTATTTTTTATTAACCAGTAGCATAAAAATAACTTTATTTGAATAATGTGTTCAAAAGACAGAGGTTACTTAAACAGTTACTTCTTTAATTTAATTTACATTGAGGCAATTTTCTCGAATTCAATGCTTTAATTTGAGAAAAAACTTGATTGATATCCTAAGATGTTGTATGATGGGAAAATTGATTTCATTGTAAGTAATATAATATCATGAGCTACTCGAAAATATTAGTTCAAGGCCTATTGGCCGAAACTCTGGGGGATATATGTATGTATTTGAAATGATTTGTTCATGTATCTTTGATTCACGACTTAAAAACAATGTTTCCTGTTTATTCTTGGTCTTCTGATTCAAGTAGCTTGTTGGTATTATGGATAGAAAACTTGTAAATCAGTAGTAGAATGAGACATACCTTAAAACACAAATTAATAGTCATTTAATTAAATACAACAATAAAATGAACTATTCAACAGAACTCACTCGGAAATTATGTGGATTAACAACTTTTTGTAATGCTTTAGAATCACAAACAACACTTGTTGCATTGTCCGCTGTTTGACCAGGAATTGTAGGCGTATGTTGAATTACATAAGGATTTTCAAGTAAATAAAGAAGATATTTTCCATGTGGTTCATTGATAAGTCCAGCCACTTCAAAAGGCCAATCAATGATCAGACGTGATCCTGGTATTAAACTATGTTTACGTAAATTTCGTACCTTTTTGCAACAAAACAATTGGAATAATGAGAAATGATGTAGTGCACACATAAAAATAGTGTTAGAAATACTGTGTAAAACAACTACTTGATATTATTTGATTTATCAGTAAATATCCATTTTTAGTGAGAAAAGTTTTTAAACTAATCTGAAAATAACTATTTTGTTTCAAGTCGGTGGTTTTAGAAGTATCACATTCTAATAAAGACTTTCATTATCTTTTGAACCTGTTCCACATTTATCAATGATTTATAATATGAACACTTTTCAGATGTAGTAGGTATACAGTTTATAATCAGATTAGATAGTAATTTGGCTTTTGATCTGGTAATAACTCTTGTAATTTGTCTCTTACTGACCAATCACACTAGGCATTTAAAAGAGAAGTCCAGATATGATGAAAAAGTACAGAAATGGTAATTAGCAGTTTCGGTCACAACATTATATCAATTTTCCATATTTGCGATCAACGGTATATAAATCTATATCTTAAGAACATATTGATTAAAGATCAGATGCTTTTATTATGTCATTTTTGAGTATAATGATGGATGTTTGAAGTTCAGAGAAAACAGCAGTAAACAATTTCAAACAACAACTAACCGAGATTAAATATGGCAGACGTTCCACTCAGACTTTGATTCTACAAACGAGTATAGATAAACTGAGACCTAGGAAGTCGATACTTTGATATTGTTTACAGTTTGTTGTACTGTTATTCCTTAAGAGTATACTGAAAACTCAAAATCTTTAAAATCCTTTATTTGGCTTGTTCTTCACCAAATTAGTGCATAGATATTAAACCTTGAGATTCATAAATATAGTATATGTAACCAAAGTATTCTATTTGAACTATTCGGCCCTTTAAATTGTATTTTGACAACAATCTTACATTTTTTAATTTGATGTTAAAGAGAAAATGTTCAAATAGTCTGTAATCGTATTCTATTTCATATTTCCTTAATGCTGATATCATCGGAATTTAGTGTAACAGTAGTTAAACAATCATGTTTTAAACTGAAATTGATACATTGAACATTGAAGCGAACACCTGACACCAGTCATACCAGTTTTAACAACTATGAATGAGTTTTAGTCGAAGTATGCACTGTTTTATAATTAACAACAGACACATGAATTTAGCTACATTCAAATCAAATTACTTTTTAAGTATGTTTTTAATAAAAATTGGACGGTTTCGATGTTTCAGTGTGATACCTTATTACGTTATTAGTTAATCAATAAAATGGGGGTAAATTTTATTTTCATAAAAAGATATTATATTTATTTAGAAAATTGAGGGTCTGTAATACTGTTAGTATTAAGCATAAAGGGTTTCCTTCCACATCTCTTTACATCTGCTGGACGTGATCTATAAAAGCGAAAGTCACCAGGATGTGACTAGTTTTGAGTGTTGCTTGTATAACTGTCCCAAGGACGTTTCTATGATGTATTAATAAATGAGAGTTGTGTGCTTGATTGTATTGTGATTGCTGGGTATTAGTAGAATATACTTTCTACGCTTACCAAGTCTTCTGTTTTGCAGTGTGGGATTCAAGGTAGCCTACCTGGACGCTGGTAACTGTCTCGTTCGCGTTTATTGACTAAGGTGAACTGGTAATAGCTTCCAGCGTACTTTGTGAGAAAACTTATCATATGGCATATAGACAAAAATAATAAACTGATTGATAAGACTGTGAATTTTTATCAAGTGATATAGTCCGGGAAACGTGTTACAAATTTCGAAAATTTGATGCAAATAATCACAAATACTTAATTAATTAATAATAATGTAGTAATTAAATGTGCCAAGCTGAATTCTAGTTTATATAGAGAACTTCAAAATGACAAAAAATTTATTACTTACAGTAAATTTCCCAACAATTCTAACATCACCAATTTGATTTTCTGCTGTCATTGAACTAATTCCATCACTAACATTACCACTAAAGTAAACTGTATTTGGTTCAGTTATTCTGTAATGAAAAATAATAAAACACTTATGAATTTTATTAAAGCTATAATAAAAATCATGTAGTCAATAATATTATTATACTATGAAGGAAGATTTTGTTAAGAGGGAACATTTATTTGAGAACTATTAGAGATTAAAGATCATTTGTTTTTTGATGTCTGATATTCCTATATGACGAAAACCATTTGTAAAGTAACTAAATTGAGTTGACTTCACTCAAATCTATGATAAGATATAATTTAACTAAGAATGAAATTAAAACAATTCGTGATTAGATCTGCATAACAGAATACACTTACAGACAAAAAGTATGAATGTATTGATTTTCTATCAGTTTCAATACAAAATCATATGCGTCATTTGTCAAGGATAGGGATTGACAGATGACAATCGAAAACAAACATACATCAATTCTATTTTCAGTTAAAAAAGAATAAAGTTTTACTATTGCGTAAATATTTATCTCCTTTGTGAGAATATTAATGGAAGAATTAAACAAACTCAACTTTAGAAGTATATTTCTTAAAGTCATTAAATAAAATGCCAAATAATGCCTGGATATATTGATGTTTATTTTAATTGTGACAGTTTTAGCTATTACATTATTAAATATTCTAGATAGGAACGATCAGTCTCTTGCACAGTCAAAATGATGCAGCCTGCAGTGACACCTCAACCATGTTTGGACAGTTGCTCCATATACAATTAGGAAAGTACGTATAACGTTATTTTGAAAATGAGGTGAATGTAACTCACATTCTGTTGTAAATCGGTTTTCCGAAACTGAAAACTAGGTAAAAATTAACTTTGAGTTACACACTCTCGCAATAATAATACCAGTAACCTATTGTCGCATCAGTCATTCGAGTACACTCGTAACTTAAGTTCGAGGTTTATATCAAATGAATAATAAAGTGTGTGACAAATATTTATCAAGAGGACTCATATTCGACCGGCTTTACATCTTTTAATATAATCTACACTTGGTTAAGGAATCATTCAGCGATTCTTTTAACACTATGCCATACAGTATGGTTGTTGTTTACAGTAGTTGTTTCGAGGAAAATGCAGTCAGAAAGATGAGGGTGAGAAAAATCCTTAGAATAATCAGAGTAGGACATAAACACCGTTGGATGTCGGCTCAATGGTTCAGAGGTTTAGAGTTCTCGAACAAGGTTGAAGGTCCTGGGTTCGAGACGTAAAAGTAGCAGTAGTCGTGGATGCTCACTGCTTATGAGTCTCACACCAGGATGAGGCAGCCATCCAGTAATTTCAGGTTTATAATGGTGGGTGGTCTTACAATGATTGATTCAAGGTTTCAATAATAATCAGAAACATCACATTTACGTGAGGTTTCTAAGTGTATTAGAAGAAGTGAATGACTGTATGAATTGTTATGGTTTAGATATTTGCAAGTTGTATAAATTATTACCAAACTTTAATATTTAGATTGATGGATTTCTCTTTTGTTGGACAGAAACAAATTAAATTAAGGACGAACAAATATTTTAAATATTTGTAGAATGTACAATATGTGTTATTTATAATTAAATTTCCTACAGATCGATATTGATTTCAGAGGACGATCTCTTAAAATTTACTTATTTGAATCTGACTCATACAGATACTTCAAAATAAATTAAGAAAATATATTACTGGATGACATGAGTAGTTGACTAAACATTGATAAAAAATTAATATAATTTTTTGGGCAGAGTTTTGGAGCTTTGTGTTTTTACACATTTGAAATCATCAATCAATCGTTGTTAGACCACCAAAATATCGTAACAGTACTCATTAGTGACTAGCTTCGTGAGAAAATTCTCGGAGTTCTAGTTGTAAAGACGTGACCAATGGAGTTCAACCCTGTCGGGTGTAGGCAGTAACTAACAAAGACAAATGGGGGAGGTCGCGCAAAATCCCTAGATCAATCAGAGTTAGACATTAACACCGTTGGATTCCGGCCCAGTGGTCCGATGGTTAGGCGTTCGCGCACAATACCGAAGGTCCTGGTTTCGAATCCTGCAAGGAGCAGGAGTCGTGGATGCGCACTGCCGATGAGTCCCATACTAGGACAAAATGGCCGTCCAGTGCTTCCAGGTTTGTAATGGTGGTCTAACAATGATTGATTGATGATTTCAAATTTATATAAGAAAATAACTGTGAATGTTAATAATTTATTTAACAAACATAGATTACTGTACTTCACTTTAAGCCCCCTTATTCATATGATAGCAGTTGATACTATCTGGCCAGCTTGCTGGTGTTTGAACGTAAAACCTACTAGTTGAAAAAAACAGGTGATGTTTGTAAAAATCATTTTGTACATTAGATATCTTGTATATAAGTAGGTGACCCTTGATTCTATTACAACAAACATGTATTCAGTAACTTCCAATTAATAGTTTTCAGTTAGTGATTTCATGTTAAGTTTAGTATTTATTTTACAAAACTAAAGTAACTATTTTAGTTGATGATTTAATTTTCGAATAGGTAGAACTAGTAATTCAATATTTGTCATAACTATTTTCTAAATATTGAAATTTGTTCAATGATTACTTTCTTCGATTTGATAGTGTAGAATAAATTATTGTTACATAAATAGTAAATTATACTTTTTTTTATTTTCTAATATACTCGAGAAAAATTTTAAACAAAAATGAAGAATCTAGTCAAATGTAACATTTGACAACTACTTTTCTACTACATTCATTGCTGATTTATAAAATGTATGTGAATTTCTACACAAGAAAACATTGAACAATTTCGTTACAATCTAATTAGACAATGATTTATTAATAATAAAATTATATAAAGTTATGAAAATAACACTGTCACATTTTCTACATAAACATACTTTTTTTTCTTTAGCTTAAGTTAATAAAAAGAACATTTATTTGTTGTTGTTGTTGTCGTCTTGTTTAATTAATTAACATAAAGAAATTAGACTGTCATTTTTTGGTTGATATCAGTTTTGATAGGAGATTGGAAAAACTACAAGGTTAATAGCAGTAAATATTATTTTAGTATTAAATTAAATTTGAAATTGTTTACTGGAAATTAAACAGTTTAGTTCACAACTTGGGGTAGAGAAATATAAGTTGGTGGGAGGTAAATTGGCACAAAACCTCAGGATTAGGATTTTTGTTAATTAGTACAGGTCGATAAGGTGTACTTGTAATCTTGAAGTGACTAGTGACTCCTGTGGGATTCGAATCTACGTCATTAAGTCTCAAAATCACAGATAATATTTGGTCAGTGGAATTCGGTTGGTCATTTAGTGATTTGAAAATTATCCCTACTCAGTAATCAATCATTTGTATAACAGAAGATGCTCTATCTTATAATCCGTATAAGACGATGGTCAGTCAGTCAGTCAGTCAGATGCAACGTAGAACTTCGTACGTAAGTACATCACTTCATGTCGTCATACCACATCAGCACAGAGATATAATTGTCAATTCAAATCCAATAGTAGTAGAGGTAGTAAAGGTATTAGAAGTAGTCTGAGAGGTTAGGATTAGAAGATATTATTCACGTAGTATGATTCAGTGAGAAAAGTTTAGAAAGTCAAAACTAAAGGTGTTGAAGAATCCAGAAGATTAGCATTTGAGAGAACACAAAGAATAAATGCACCGGCGCCATTGCGAACGATTTTGAGCCATGTCATTCAAGGTCTCTAACCATCGATTATTATCATCTCGCGGACCCCAACCAGGTAGTCGACAATTACCGACATGGCTCAGTCTACTAGTCAATGACTTCATGGATTTGTGCCATGTTTTAGTTTGGTCGCCCCTAGCTTTCTTCCAACCTACTACTACACTACAAAACAAAGTTCGACGAGGCAGTCGGTGGTTCGGCATACGCAAGACATGTCCCAACCATCTCAACTGATGAAGTTTCACCACTTCATCTATTGATCTGCCATCCTTGCCTAGTACTCGTTTCCTAACGACAGCATTGCTTACTCGGTTGTCCCACGGTATACGAGCAACACTAATCCATCTTCCTTTTTCAGGTCCCTCAAGAAACAACCTTCCACGGTGTGGGCAGCCGGGAAGTGACAACCGCCCTCATACCCGTAACATAAGATGATGGAATAATTTATAGACTTCATGAAGAACTAGGATGAATAATCAGGTACCATAATTAAGATTGAAACTTAATAATGTGATGAGCATCTTTAATGTAGCATAAATTGGTCAAAATTTTTATAACGTTTCAATTCAATAGCCTTTTGATATCAAAAATGTTCACTAGATAAATACATGATAAATCAGGACAAAAAACACTATTCATAGTTTTTTTTTTCAGTTTTTAATGATTCTACAATAAACAATAAAAGAGTAACTGTTTAAAAAAAAACGGTTAATTCAGTATTCTGTGATTCATGCAGAGAAATCTAAAAGCATCATAAAAGTTAATTTTTATACTTGTTCAACGAACATAATCGAACATACTTAATGGTTAGTTAAGTCAAAGTCAATCACAGTTCATTAAATTTGAGTAATAGTAATGATTGAATTTCAAATTAGCATCTCTAATATATGAGCTATAAGACAAAGCAAACTATCAATACGTCTTAATTTACAGAATTTTGATTAAAACCAATTAAATAAAATAATTATTTTTACTTATGTGTTCACAAATATCTCATTATGAACGTCTATAGTGGCTTTATAAAAAAATTACCGAATCTGTTGATGAACTGTTCACAAGTTAAATGCTATGAATTAAAAGAACTTTCATTGAAATCATAAGTCGATCATTGTTAGACCACAATTGGAAACCTAGGAGCATTGAACTGCCCTTTCTTCCAGGTAGGTAACTCATCAGCAGTGAGCATCCAACATCCATGCATGCGGGAATCCAACCCAGGAACTTCAGTCTCGCGAAAGAACGTTTAACATCTCCACAAGTGAGCCGGCATCCAACGGTGTGAATTTCTAACTTTTAAACCCTGTCGGGTGTAGGCAGTTACTTATCCGTAGACAACGGGTGAGGTTGTACAATATCTTGCACTGACTAGAGTTAAAAATTAACACCGTTGGATGCCGGCTCAGCGAAGTAGAATTTAAGCGTTCTTGAGCGAGACTGAAGTTCCTGGGTTGGATTCCTGTGTGCGAGGATCGTGGATGCTCATTGCTGATAAGTCCCCTATCTAATGCTTCCAGGTTTCTAATGGTGGTCTAACAATGATCGACTTAGGATTTCACTGAAACTCAACAAACTTCACAACTCGACAATGAAAATCAAAGGAACATCAAACAGTTGTTGGTTTATTAAATAGGTTAGAAATCTTTCTATTAGTAGAGACATTAACATCAGATCAACTTACCCAAATATTGAAACATTGACAATCATTTTAATATTTACTTGTAATTCATTAGTCAATTGTCCTTCTACTTGTATAGGATTATTAGAACTTCTAAAAGTTGAAAGATGAAAAAAACACAACTAATAAAAGGGTTATTAATCATTCTATGAGTTTGTGCTGTTCATAGTTTAATGGTTTTTATCATTTGAGCACCATTGAAAATCTCTGTTTTATTCTACCATCTGACTTCTAAACAGTGCCAACAATGACTACTATTCCATAGCTCGTCCTCCAAACAATCAGGTCTAACAGATAGTGCAGTAATTTTAAGCCACGACGTTTTCATCCAGTGCTCCTGTCAGACATGTTTGCAATACTGATATCGGATAAATGGTGACCATCAGAGTGTAGCTCATAAATTTAAAGGTAATCGCTTAAAAGCTTGAATATTTTATGTTCGGTATCCGATGGCTTCTGTGCACTACTGAGGACTCTCATACAGTGATAGAACAACTGCCAAATGTTTGTTGGTCTTCAGTTGATGAGACTTCTTCACGAAAAGCATCTACATATTTTTACTTATATTGATAGCAGATAACAAATTCGTTTGAAGTATGATAATCCATATCGTTACTTTTTTTATGTGTAAAACTTTTTGATTAGAAATTAAATTACACAAAACAATAGAATTAATTTCTGAGAAGCAAACAGCGATTACTGTTTACTTACATAGTTTTCAGTCGTATCCTATCAATAAATTCTTCATATTATTGAGATATACATTCAAATGTTTGTCCTTTGTGTTACTATTAAATTCAGATTCAGAGATTGAAAGTGGTGTAATACAACTATAGTCAAATATCAATAACCTGTTTCATCTACCTACAAATGTGATTGATCTTGAAGCCAATAGCCAATAGCTAATACCGAATGATATTGGCTGTTAGACAAGTTTTAGTTCCTAAATATTTCTTCAGCTAACAAAAATTTATCTTCATGTCTAGTGTAAACTAGTGACGTGAAAGATATGCGTCAGAAAAGCAAAAGTGCTTGAACTTTATGTGTTGTCAATGGGAAACTACGAGGATGGTAAATACATTAAAAATCAAAGTATTTATCATATAAATTATTGGAAAAACACTATGCTTGTGTGTATATATTGACAATAAACAAATGACAACAACTAGAAAAGAAGTAAAAGCACAAAAGAACTAATATCACAAGATAAATAAAAGTAAACAAACAAATCACTTACATTAATACAGTACTATTTACATGAAATTTAGCCATTTGTACAGTTAATTGATGCCCAATTACAAGCCATCGTATCATACATTCACTTGATTGACCAGAAGCTAATGGATATTGAAGATGACAAATCGCTGTGTCCGGTTGAATTAAACTGGCTTCTTTCAGCTAAAATTGACAAAATGAGTAATTGGTTAAACAGCACTGATAAAACAATGTGTTTGGTTAAAATAAACAAACATAGAAATTAAAAAAGACAAAATCAGACGACAGTGTTGTTCATGGATGCGTAAACAATACTTAAACAATAAACAAGACGAAACTTATTCAAAACTAGACGTGATTATTGTTATCGTCTTTTGGTGAATTAATAAATGAAGCCAAGTGATAGCTTAATATGACATGATGTATATGTCGCAAATATATCCCGTTTAAATGTTTGCTAAAATATATATATTGACAGGAAAAGAATGATTTACACTGGAAAAAGTGGGATAAAAAGCAACTAACAAGCTACATGCAGAGACTGGCGAAATAATCTGACTCAATAGTTTAAAAAACCAATGTTTGGTGTCATGTGGTGGTGTGTATTACATAAGAATGTGAAAAATTGAAAATGGACGTTCTTTATTTAAATCAAACCAGTGGATATGAAAAGGACTGTGTAAAATTCCACGTGAAAGAGTTGAGAAACTCAGATTTCAAATCAAGTAACTTGTAGGCCATCAAATTCTATTGGAAACGGTCAAGAGTGAAATTATTGACTAAATCAATAAGATCGTAGGTCATTCAGTTTACCATTTGTTTGGATTCTGACAAGTTTATTTATCAAATATTTCGGTATGTTATTTTATTGCATTCTGTTAATTGTTCACTAACATTTGACATTTATTCCGTGGAAGATTCCTTTAAAATTATAATTATTTACACATAATCATTAATCACTGAAATACGGTAGAATTTTCTCCACAGTATTTATATTTCCTATTTTTAAACCACACTCGTTTTCTCTTGTTTCCTTAACAGTAATGAGATTCACTGAAAAGTTTTGAGGGATGTTTTCTAGGCCTCTATAGACTTATCTGAGGTATATTTTGGGGTTACTCAACAGTAATTCACATTTAAGTTGATTTAAATAACTTACTTACGTAGTACAAGTTAATTAAGTCCAGGGAGAAAACAACAATTGAGATACTTAACGAATCAATATCTTTTGAATCAGGTTTTAACCACAATTGTTGTAGTTATGAGTATAAATCTAATAAAGGTTAAGTAGAAGCAGTCATATCCTTGATGATGACCCGATGTTTATGCTTTCATTGAAAACTATTCAGTACACTATTTCATCTTTCAATGATTAATGACGATTACAACATGTTTAAACTTTTAGTCAAATGAAAACAAATACAACTTACAGTTGAATCAATCTCAAGTAAATTTGGCAAAAAATTACTAACTAATCCAGTTGCATAAACTAAATCATCGCCAATATTTGTTACACGAACAGTCACTTCAATTGTTTGATTATTATCATCACCAACATAAACAACAGGTCCATTTTTATCTCTACAATTTGATTAAAGAAGAGAGATGATTGCAAAGATTTACTTGAGAATAGAAAAATTACAATTCAGCGTATATACACGCGTTGTTGGACCATGTACAGTGTTTAATCTGATTGAAAATGTCTTCAGTTTCATAAATTCTTTGGAGTATTTTGTTGGGAGAGATATTCATTATTTTAGAATAGAACAATCATGATATATTTTTATATTTGTGTTTACTAGACTTATTAATTTCAATACTAAAAGTAAAGTCTCATTGGTTTACGAATTGGATTTAACTCTACTATATTAATTTTCTTAAACTTGAGTTCAAACAGCTAGGGAATATATTGAACTTGTCACAAAAAATAGACACTATTCTTACACATAAACACGTATGTAAATAATTTGATAGTAAACTGAAGAATATTCATCGATTAGAAACAAATAACTAACATCATATTCGTAATGATTTGTTCACAAATATTATTCTATTCAGGTCTAATCATTTTCACTACTACACTGCGGTTTCTTATAAAACATAATCTAAAGAATATCCAACACTCATAAGTTATCAGAGTGTGAAACATGGAATTTCGGAATATTTTTGTTTTTAAATTATAAATGTATAATTTATTCATGTAATTAATCATTCATTAAATAAATTCTTAATTTCAACATTTGACTGGCCGATAGTAATTACAACTTCTGTGAAAATATTTATAAATTTTTTATACAACTGATGGTATGTAAGTTGTTTTGATAGTGAATGAACTTTTGGAAGAGATCGCATCAATGGGGCTTGACAAATACTGACTGAGTCATTTAGTTTTTTGCGTTGAGCAAATTTATTGGTCAGGTTGTAATGTGGATAACAGATACTTGACATCAAGGACACATCATTTGTTGTTAAGTAACTGATAAAACTTGTAAAATGAGTGTACTTTCATGGCGAGCCCTCAGGGTTTGGTCCCGAGCTTTCAGACAAATTATCTTATTCATTCTCCGTGAGTCATTAGTCACATACCTTGTGACCTTGTCAATCATTCGCTTATACCTTAGTTGTTTTTACTTGTGTCTGCCGCTTAATTCTCTAACTATATGCCTAGCTTATTTTTTCTGACTATAAATGCTTAATCAGGTTCCATACCATGGAGTTGGCTCGTTCGCCTTCTACACTTCGCTTCGCTTTGTTTTTATGTCATGTATTATCATGTCTGCCTGCACAAACGATTGTCTTAAATAAACTCATCCAACTTACTTCGTATTTGACTTCTTATTACCGTCGTCGCACAAACGGATCCGCTTAAGTATGATCTACGGAAACTGAAGAAGAGACTTAGTTAAAAGCATACACGAATGTTCTTAAATAAAGGAGTCAGGCCACGGGCCATTAAAGAAGTGAGCTCTACATCGAATATAACGCAACCTCAAAGTGGTGATCTCCGGCATCGAACATAACACGACCCACAAAAAACTCAATACTAGACGATGCAATTTCGAATACTACATGGAGCATCGATTTCAGTGAAATTATCGGTAGACTCTATAAACAGGTATAAACTAGTGGAAAATCTACATCCAAGACCCCATGTTAACTTAATCCAACTAGTTTTTACTGTGCAACAGTTTTTAGTTTAGAGCAGCTTTGCGACTAAGACATGAAAATTAGAATTATACTTTTATGTCATAATATTCCAGTTGGAGGGCTAGCCAATAAGGTATGCGTGTATGTAGTATTAGTGTACATCAGTTTCATTTATGACAGCAGATAAAAAATGACATCTCACATGATTTTATATGCATATGTGCAATTAAAGTAGGTTTCGATTTAACTGAATAAGAAATAAGCATAGTTTTAATCGCAGCCCGAAATGTTTTGAATAGTTTTGATACAAACAGATCTTTATTATAGTGATAAAACTTATTCATCATCTAGATAAAACAATCGGTCATGTGATGATACATCGTGGTTGCATTTTATCTTCTACATGTTAGATTGTTTATTTCTGATTGGAAGATTGTACGTTTCACAATGATGACTGATTGATTACCTAGCAACAACACAATCTGACAGCTTAAACATTATATTCTTGTTTGAAATTATTCTGTTTATCTGTTAGATATATTAAATTAAATTAAAATTAATTCTCATATACTGACTGATCTATCTGTTCAACGGTTCAATATGTCATTTAATTCTGATATTTAGAATTAAAGCATACAATAATTTCATTTCAATACATTAATTTATTCTAATATAAATCCATTTCGAAATTGATTGAATTCTCATTTTTATTTAATGTTGTAATTCAAATTGAAGATTCATGATGATGAATAAGAGAATTGTAAATTAGAAACTTCCTTAAAAATCAAATGTTAACATTAATCAATATATATTGCATTCTAAGATTGGTTATTTTAGAGTAAATGACAGATGAAATGTTAAATTTTCAAAAATAATATCGCATTAATTTGATTTAATCTCTTGACTGATTTCAAATTCAATTTGAGCATAAAATCAAATTACTTTTTTATTAAAAATGTCAATGATTTACACAGAATGATTAAAATTCATTGTAAAGATTTCCGCCAACACAGGGATCATTTCATATAAACATTGAACAGTTCTAGAATAAGTAATATAATACTTACACTAAACAATCTTTGATATGTGTCCAAGTTATATTGATAAAATGAGTTTGAGGCACAGAAACTATTAAAGAAAAACATTTCAACTTGAAAATCTACATATCATTGTTAACTGATAAAGATCATTAGTGAAGGAAAGTGAACTTCAGAGCAGTAGTACTGACTATTTATAAAGAATGTTTAAAAAGGCGAATGTCAAAGTCGATTTTGAAAGGATGCTGAATTTCAAGGCTGATGTTCACCAAGAAAAAAGATACTTACATAGAGAGCAAGTTATTTTATCATTTCAATTTCTTTTCTTTTGATTTACAATGAAAGTAGACTAATTTTATGATATGTTATTTTTTTTTTCTGATTCGTGTCAACTGAAAAAGGGATTACAATGAAGAGGTGAAGAAATGAAAAAATACGATGATAATAAGCTTATTGAATAGTGTTTGCAATAAAAAATGTGTCAAAAAAAAAGAATCCCTTGACTATTTTACAGAAATAATATACTTCAATGAACTTTTATTTTATTTTATTTTTTCTATAATAAATAGCTAAAGAGTTTCAATTGAATTATGTTTATTTCGAATGGATAAAAATAAATAAAATTTTTCAAGTATACACAATTTGTATACTTACTTGTACTTACTTACCTGGTAACTTTTACATTATAGCTAATTCGTACATTTGAGCAACATTGTCGAATTGCACAAGGATTATCAAATGATATCTGAAAGAATTTAAAGAATTTAAACTTATCAACCGAAATAATTGGAAACAATTATCATAGGATGACATTATATTTTGATACAATTAGTCGATAGCATGGATTGGGTTTTAATCAGTTTTCACGAGTGTTCGCTCATCCTCTGAGGATTGTTTGGATATAGACCATATATCGACTACCGGATAACTTAATATATGGCTATTATTATATCTGTAGAACTGTTCAGTGGCTATCTAACTCAATAGCTCAGTCAGTGCATAAGGCATTCAGCAAAATATTCCGATATGAACCTCAACACGATAATGTAGGTGTATTCAACTGACAAGTCCCACATAAGATGGAATCCACATCCTTGATTCCACTGCTTGTCTTATACATTAAATTTTGATTTCTAAAGTGATGAACTGGTTTCTTTTTTGCATAAATAAATTAATTACGTAATAGCAACGAATAATAAACCTTTTATACTATTCTTATACTACACATATATTATTTATTATAGAAAACTTTTATTAATTATTTTAAGCTTTGATTGTATTTTAAAATGATTAAAGGATATCAGTATGATTATCAAGGTTTGACGTGATATTTATAAATAAATTCAACCTTAAGTGGATTTGTTTATCATTATAAATTGCTGATATATTTGTAACATCAAAATCAATAGAAAATTTAGATTTGTGATATTTCATTCTGAACAATTAGTATTGAGAATTCATGTGCAGTTGCCCTATTGATTCAACTGTAAATAATTTTCATTCCAACAGCCATTCAGTAGCGTTAATTGAATGAAAAGTGATAATTATTAACCGAAATAGCTAAACAGAAATTTATTACATGTTTTGTTGTGATATACGAAATGGTAGGTTCGAATCTCATGATAACCGTCAATTTCCCTTGGGACTGCAATCATTGCTCATGAATGCTAACTGACACGAAACTTAGTCACAAGGCAGTTAGTTATTTGTCTGCTATGAATACAAGGTGAAGTGCCTTGACATACATTTGAGTTCGACCATAATCAATTTGATTAAGCCTTTAGATTAACTTATTTAACCAAGCCATTTGGCTTTTACTATTGTCTGGTTTGTGTGAGCTGATATGCCTGAACATTGCTTACCGAATACGCGAATATTCATTCTATTCGCTTTAGTGTTAATCTCCTAAACATTTCGATGACTCAGACATTTTACTATAAATATATATGTACATTTTAATCTTATTGATTCATTCACCGATACGCTCACTAGCGTCCTTGTCCTTCTCTGTGTGCTTGTGGTCTGACCGTCCATTTATGGGTGCCAGTATAAACGTATTCAACATTTCGTGTTCACCTTCTGATTTATAAACCTTTCAGGCGCTATTTAGTAACGTTTGTCTGGACGAGCAAATCACGAAGTCTAAGAACACGTTGGATACCGACCGTCACGAAACTAGTGACACATTGGCCACCATAAAAGATTTCTATCATTTCCAAACGAAAAATATTTTTGTATATATTTCTCAAATCCAACTTGGTGATTTAAGATTATTAGTCGTAAGTGTATAAATGGTCAATTCTTCATTTTTGTTTATTAGGCTATTAATTGAGGGTGTTTGTAGGATCGAACGTTGTCTGTACGTGTGTTTTGTTTATTGATAGTAAATACACTGCAGTTATTTCTAATTGTTGTTATACTATGACTTGCTATAGTAAATAGATATTTCAGTATATATAAAGCCTGAAGTTTTGGGCTAGATTACAGGTCTGGTTATGCATCCGTACTGTTGAGGAGCTGTCTACTAGGACGAAACAGATGTTCCATGCTGTTTGCCGTTTTGGTCATTGTGCCGCTAACGTTAATCCATGATATAAAATTTCGGAAGGAAAATGGAGATTAAAATCGTTAACCAACTAAACATCAGTTAGATAGTTTCAGTAAACTTTCAATCTTAGTGATTTTGATTTGTTGCATTTTTGAGGCGAATAACATTTCTGAGTAATCAGGCAACCAGTTATAAAATTGAATGCTCATTAATTTTTGAGCACATCACCCGGTCATTTTTACTGGTTGAATAATGATCGCTACCATCATTAATACAAATATATAAATATGCATAAACTATGTGTAAAATCCATAGAAACGTATTAAAAGTATTTTTTTACTTGAAGTAAATCAGTATTTTCACGAGGATCCGCTACAGGATACTCATCGATTTGATCAGCCAATGGATATGGTTCAGTCATTTTGGCAATCCATTTAGCTCCAATTTTCAAACTTTCAGTCTGATCAATTAAATGCGTGTCCTAAACATTGAAGAGAAAAAGGCAGCTATAAAATGAGTCATGATACGTATATAAAAAGTATAAAATAATTTATGAAAGATGAATGTTTTAATGGATTGAGTTGTGTTAGAGCTTAAAGCTACATTGTTGTCTAAAACGTTTAGTGATCCATAGCAAGTCCTCCATTGAAACAAAGATATATTTATTAAACGTCATTATATGCTGTATTATTTAAGATGCAGAGGTGATGAGCTCGGATTCTTAGAAAATCTTTTGTATCTGATAATCTCGATAATATCATTTAAAAAATAGTATTTATAATAAATTAATTGAACAATTTGTGAATCTTTTGGAAGTTATATGCAACATAAACTTCACTGGAAACTTGAGTAAATACTAAAGTCTATAACTATTCGATGTATTTAACCTAATCCTAAAGTGGCAAAAGAGTCTTATACATATTTCAATGTGTAGTGGGCTAGATATTACAATCATTAAGTTTAGTAGGCATGAACTTAAGGCAAAAAAAGTTGGTGTAGAAATGATTCAGCGAATAAATGTACAACCTGAGCATATTCTTGATGGTCTTATGAGTCACATACATGTATTTCTGCATATACACTTATGTAAATGAAACAAGGTTGGACTTATAATTCTATTTGTTTCGTGCAAGTCGACAGTTGTTAGTAAAAACGGCAATAATGTCATAAAGTTTAATTACAAACCGAGAATATAGTGTTATATTCAATACTAGCTAAAGTATGTCATTATAACTGACACACTAACTAATGCAATTAAAACGACTTCTTCAATACCGTAAAAATTAACTAAGTCTGAGAAAAAGTATCTCTTTTTGTCTGAAGTAACGCCTTTGAATAATTCGATACGTTGGGTCTCTCTCTTTCGCTCTCCATATATATATATATATATATATATATATATATATATATATATATAGGGCGTTCGCGCACAATACCGAAGGTCCTGGATTCGAATCCTGCGGGGTGCAGGAGTCGTGGATGCGCACTGCTAATGAGTCCCATACAAGGACGAAACGGCCGTCCAGTGCTTCCAGGTTTGTAATGGTGGTCTAACATTGATCGATTCATGGTTACAAATATATATATATATATATATATATGCTTAACAAATGAGCATCTTTAAATTTAAATCAACTTACTCGAAATATTATTCGTACTGTACTAGCTAAATTCAATTCATTTTGAGTGAATGGTAAATTCTTTTGAATTGTTTTAAGATCACGACAAAAAGCATTTCCTTCCAGTTGTAAATATCCACCAGGACTATCGAAACCTGTCAGATAAGCTGATTCATTACGTTTAAAATAATCTTTAACCATTGTTTCACTATCTGATAAACTTTTCTCTCGTATAAAAACAATTGGTGATAATGTGTAATTTTTATAGAATTCTTGCATGATATTTTTGTAAATGATAGTTGAATGCGAATTGAAATTGCATTGATTTTCATATTCTGGTGATATGTTGTTCCCTAGATTTTGTTCCCAATCTTCGGAAAACCATTCATCAGTTGGATTATATTTCAAAATAATTGATACTGGATATGTTCTTTGTGGATTGCATAATTTACTGTTTCAATGAAACAAGCAAATTACAATTATTTATTGATGCATAATTTTTTACAAAACTTCGAGGAAAAATTAAACTTTAGATAAAATACATTTAATATATCTTGGATATGAGTGTAGTTAGATTTATTTTTACATATTTTACAGCTACGCCTATAGAATTATTTGGGAAATAAAGTGCACTGAATAGTGTAATAGAAATATTAAATAAAAGGAAAATTTGATTCCGAAAATGACACACTGTGATACGCCTCATGTAGTGTATAAATTATGTGATATATTTGCTTTATGTCAAAAACAATACACAGTGTTAGTTTATAAATAGATTGCCCGTTGTTAGATTGAATCATTACTTACAAGTTCAAGTTCCCTGACTAATATACTAATTTCATCATACTGTTACTGAAATAATTTCTATCAAGCTTCATTTTGATTATGACTGACCAAGTGATAGTTTTTTTCGGGCTTCCTAATCATATAATGAAGTTTTTAATTCATTGTTTTAATTATGAATTATATTATTTTCCTCAATTTCAGTTTTTAGAAAACAATTGTTTTTTTGGCTAGTAAAATTCAGTCTGTACTTCATTGCAAAACTGTTATTGTTTTTTATCAAGCAATGATTCGATAGGAAGATATTCTTCGAAAAATATATCCAATGAAGTCTCAAATTTTAAACAAATATTTTTAAAAATTTACTTTGGTAATTGTTTGCTACTAGTTTGATTAAAAATTGGTAAAATGTCAATAATATATGTATATATATATATATATATATATATATATATATATATATATATAACAATTAGTCCCCGCTATAAATTTTGATAGAACAGTGGAGAAGATGTAATTGATCTGAAAAATGTGATGTATTTACGCTAAACATTTCGAACAATCTGGTCACACCTATACTTGTCAAGGCATTTCATATGAAGAATAATAAAAGGTCAATTAAATAAAAGTTCAAACAGATATAAGGTGATGATTGTAAATGGAGAGAGAAAATTAACGTAATATGGAAAGAATAAGAAAGGGTAGGAAATTGTCACACTAGCCTAGGCTTAAAGGTTACTAGGGTAAATTCAAGATTATAATAAATTGTTTCTGTATGCATAAAGGGGGTTTCAATTTTCGAATAGCCGAGGCCTACATAGACATCAAAATTCGTCCTTCAACATTTCTATACAATATTTTGAAGGCTGTTCTGATGTTAATCTTATGCCGTCTCAATTATGTGTTTTGCGATAAATGAACATAGTTTTCTATTTGTCACGCCAATCAGCTCATCTGACGTTAACTGATTTTGAAGCCACTTTGGTACATGTTCCAAAACCCTTGATTACAAAGTCCACTTACTCCTCGCTATGTATATGTGTCCACACAAACATGTAAATTGATAAATGCAATGGGATGTGATGTAATCATTTGAGCAACGTTTAGGTCTATGTGGAATCATGGGCTTAGTCTTTTCAACTATAATCACTTTAGCAGCGTCGTATGTTGTCGTTCTGAAGACTATTAAAGTTATCCAGTAACTGAGAGACGTTGAGTTCTTTATCGCATATAATTAAAATATCATGCATATATCTCCTATACAGAGTAAACTTATTAATGAGCTCATTCCACAAATTTTCAGCATATGCCATATAAACATCAGCTAAGAGAGGTCCCAAAGGAGTACCCATAGCAACGCCATCAACTTGCTGGAAATGTTCATCATCAAACGTGAAATGAACTTTCTCAGTACAAAATAAAATAAATTCTCTTAGTAGAGTTGACTGAATGGGAAAAAGAGGGAAATTAATTAAGATATAGTCATGAAGAAAGTTAACAGTTTTCATTAGGGGTACATTGGTAAAAAGGGAAAAAAGGGGAAACGTATAGCGCAAATACATCACATTTTTCAGATCAATTACGTCTTCTCACTGTCTATCAAAATATATATTTCTGTTTTGCGTTCGCTAAAAAGTCTATTTATTAATTGACATTGAATTAGTCTTTGAAGTCATTAAATTACAAAAATCATTAGATGGAAATTGTGAAATGATTAGTAGCCAACTAAGTATTTGGGTGGTTAAAGATAGCCAACAAGAAACCCGAGACTGAGATTTTGTGCTAATTAGGACCTTTCAGTGAAGTGCACCTAGATTTACAGAATGAGATGTTACCATTGATCCATTCGAGTAACGACTAACATTGGCTACTACTCAGTGATCAGTTATTTATAAATTACCACTGAGTGCATCGATAATGATTTTAAACTATTCAACTTTTTTCAATTATCAATGAAAATAAACGAAGAATGGAATGATTCTGAAAATATCTAAAAGTAGACAAAAAGTATGAGGAGGACTTTGAAACAAATTCAGCACTGAAGTTAAGTTTCTTTTTTCTAAAAGAAAGACAATAGTCAAATTTTCCAATATAACAGTTTATAGTCGGTGAAAAAAAGATAATTTTGTTCACTGACATTTACAATTTCATAATTTATCAAGAATAAATTAACAGGATTCTAATTATTACTGTTTAGAATTGTAGCGAATCAAATATTTTAGCTTATAAAGCTTCTTGAATAATAGTAAAAAACACCATTATTTTCATTTGCTACGATACTAGTCATCATTATTGAGTTAGTGTTATAATTGTATGAAAGGTGATGAAAGATTTATTTTAAATAAATATAGAATCAAGGAATGTATTTATCATTAAAATACTTTACAATAGAATAAAACTAATTTCCTCTGTGTATCCAAGAGGATATTTGACAGCAAGAAAGACATACATGAATAATTTTTGATTTAAATAAAAATCAAACAGTAAAAGCTATTTTTGGTGGAATAGGTGATATTCATGGGAAAAGTCAGTAATATATTTAGAAAATACGTAGGTAGGTAATTTGCTTACCATAAATCTTTCTACTTCAAGTAGGTTAATGTTTTGTAAATTGCTTCAGGAAGGAATTCTCGGAGTTCTAGTGAAAAGTCGTGATTATTCGAGTTCAACCGCGTTGAGCATGAAGCGTTTACTCCACTAACACAATGGATGAGGTCACGCAATATCGTGGGTTGACTGAAGTTAAATAATAAGACCGTCGAATGCTGACCCAAGAATCAAGAAATTAAAGACCTCTCTAGCGAGACCTTAATTCCTGGGTTCAGTTACTACTTGTCGGGTTGCAGCTAAACACTTCTTATGAGTGACATTTCAAAGCGAAATGGCCAATAAGTGCATACAGATTTTCTTGATAATCTCAATGAGATTAGTGTTACTCTGGTAAGGTTTACGTGAATTAGGACAATCAACAATCAATTAAGAGAAATTTAATATCTCAGTCAGTTTATTTAGTTAGATTAATTTTTAAATATTCAGAATATTCATTTAGTAATTCTTAGGGAATAATTGAAATTTTTCATTAATTTCATTTAGATCTTTCTACTTTATATTAATTCGATATCTATTGAATCACTTGTTTCAGTCAAAACCTTTTATCTAATTTGATACACATAAAACATATGTAAATGAGTCGTTCAAAAGCTGGCAACAGTAATGAATATAGAGTGGAAAAAAAAAATGAGATTTTCGGGTTATAAATTCAACTAGACATTTATACATTTAAAGAATGATCTAAAAGTTTATTCATTCATAGTGAAGCTTTATTTTAAACCCACTGAAAATCTTGACTTTCAATAAGTTAGGAAATTTTGGAAATATCATGATTGTTCTCTGTATTACTTAAGCTTTGATAATGTATATGGATTTCAATTTGATATAGACTCAATAATTTTTCTGGTAATAAAAGAAAATTTATTTGATTGATGATTTTCAGAGGTTTTAGAATGATCTAGAGAGGGTAAAACCAGTTTTCAGATAATCAAGACTCAGGTTATATATATATATATATATATATATATATATATATATATATATATATATATATATAACTCAAAAACCAAAATGTGGTCAGAGTTTGGATATAGGATTGAGATTAGGAGTTTGTATTAGGAATAATCGCTAGGAATAGAGTGTAAAAATATACTTTAAGCATATGGTTAAATATATGTGCAGTCAGGTCTTTAATTTTGACTATCAAAATCCTTTTTAGTTGCACTGAAGAGTTCATAAATCATAGTCCTTAGTTTTTAATCTTCTGATACGTTACGTATCAATTTCAACTGACTTAAATGTTGATAATTGATAGACTTTACTGAATTCTTATTTAATTTTCAAGAAGATATAGCCATTGCTAGTTGAATTTTGCACAAGAACTCAGAAGATGTTATCATAAATCTAATTCTTCAATCAATTAGATATGCTTTTATCGATAGTCAACAAGAGACCATCAGCACATGGTTTCATTTACGTATTCTAATTCATTCAGTCAGAATAAATTACAGAAAATTTTAGATATAATCTTGTCAAGCATATGGAAATAGTACTCGTTGATTTAGATGCAATGTTTTTCAGTGTTTTCAAACTTTTATGGCATTTAAGCACAGTAGAATTTGACAAATAATGAAATTTATTTGTTAGGCAATAAACAGTTTGCAGAAAATGTTTTAAACTGTCAAGACAATTTTTGTAGAACATGGTTTAATATTTAAAAACTAGATTTCTGATTAATCCTGTTTAGTAGTGATTATCATTTTCGAAATATAGGGACTAGTCTCATTAATAATTGATTATCTGTTGTTTTTTGAAATGAGTAAATTCAACAGGAATTGTATGTTCATTGTATCAGCTAGGCAGTGATGAAAACTTCATGTATGATGATGATGACGGTATATACTTCTGGTTTATGAAAAATACTAATCTCAAAATTCTTTCCGAAGTTAATTGATATTCCACTTGGTATTGGTGTCAATGTCAAGAAGTTAGGTGTCCTTAAAAATTAACTGAAACATGACAAATAAAAGTTTCAAGTTTAAATTCACTGATGAAACTACATGTGTTCAATAAATAAGTAAGTAGTTGAACACTTAAATAAAACTAATCTAATCGAAACTGGATTCTTTTTTGGGAGATTTTAACTTTTGTTAAAGTTGGGTATGATTTATGATTAAATTTATTCATTAAAAATTACGTATCAGTTAGAAAATGTGTTATTGAGTATTTTGGAAAATATAAAAGAACTTTCCGTTTTTAAAATGCCGACTTCACCATAACCCCCTGAGAAAAAGGTGTGCATCATTTTTAAAAAAGTATAATTAAGTCATATATTAATAAAATAACCATTGAAAATTCAACTAAATTTTTGTTTATATTATTGGATAAGTTGTGAGCAGTTTAAGAAGACGCATGAACTCTGCATGGATTGTCTAGATGTAGCCGTTTCGTTACAAGATTCATATAATGGATTGTAGCTGGTACTACAGCCGGGGTGCGTGTTTCGTCCAATCTGAGGCCCATTGTATGGAGGTACCTGTATCCTAGCTTTGGAATAAGTAGATATCAGGATTTGAGGGATAGGAAGATACACCGTCCAGAGCTTAAAGTAAAAGGTACTGAGTTCAAGTTCTGAAGTGATTGTAAACTGTGAAATGGAAGTACTTCACGCTGGCGAGTTGTAAAGGGGACAAAACTTGTGTTCTAGATTACGTAGATGGTCAAAATTTATCTTTTCTATGAAACACTGAAAATATATTCATTTTAATGTAATATGAATAATTAGAAGGACGAACGTTTACCAGATTTTCTGTATTATTGGAATTACTCATCAAAATTTTTAGAAATGAGATTAAAAACCGTCATAAATTATAGGGGAGAGAAATTAATTACTGATAAAATTGATCGATGTGTTTTATTGCTACCTACATAAGTGAATTAATGAAAAAGGTTAATGAGTAATTTAAAATATATATAATTGAATTAATGCGCATTTTATCATAAGCAATTTTATTAACTTACCCATCAACACTGGTATATGTGACAATTAATTTCATATCAACACATTTAGCTGATGGTGCTTTATATCCAGTAATTGACTGAGCTTCATGAGTACAATCCATTAATGAATTTAATGAACTAGGCAAAATAGTACTACCATCCATCAATGTTAAATATGCAGCAAGTCTAAATAATGAATAAAAATGTCATTTTTAATAATACGACATGTGAATGATGAAGGTATAAAACAATAGAACATTGAAGACAATAAGTCACTTTTATAAATTTTGGTAGAACAATGAGAAGAGGTGATTGGTCTTGAATATGCCCTAGTAATCTTTTAGCCTGAGGTAATGTTACAATTTGCTATCCTTTTTTGTTCTTTCTATATTACGTTAATTTCCTCTCTCCTTCTTTGAAATTAGAAACTGTGAATGATAAGGCATATATTGTGGAATTCTATACAGCATGATGGATTGTCTGATGTCTTTCAAACAACACTTATTTCTTTAGTGAACAAATTCAGCAAAATTTTTTCAAACTATCGATACTAGATTTTGGATAGGTTACGACATGGACTGATCTCATTTACATTGCTTTTGAGTACTAGGAAGCACTAGAGATCAGTTTCTTTCCAATGTGAGACTCCTATTTTCATGACTCCAATGAGAATCAGACATAAGGACTTCAGGTTTTGAGTCAAACGCTCAACTTTTTGACCACTCAATAGATATGAAATAGTTTACACATCGAACTTCAATCAATTAGTCTCCAATGTTGGTGGTAACTACTTTATATCCAATATAATTGAACTTCGTTTGTTATGCTTCCTATTGGAACTCTGGTAATTACCTTTTTAAATTAGTCATCAGTAGGCATATGATTCAATTAAGAACTAAGGTTAAAGTACTTAGCTTGCTGTAATATGCATCTTTCATCCATTTACTAACAACAGACAAATATTTGTAACTATTTTTATTCTCAAGAGAATAAGTTAGTTGAAACCCCAGATTCTACTAACCAAAGCTAACTGATTGATCTAATTCGAATCTTTATAGTTATTTCGTTCAACGTGTAACAAAAAATAAATGTATACATTTTTTATTTCATTAAAAAATATATTACCTAACAACAGGTCTGGCTCGTAACACTGCAACAGAGCTAGACAAAGCCGCTCCGACCGCCATATCCGGATATCCATTTTCATCTAAATCGGCACCATTCAGTCCGAGTGAAAAACCAAATCCTTCTAACGGTCTTGGACTTTGCAAATCATTTGCACAAATTATCTATATTAATTTCAATAAAAAATACCAATAAATACGACACTTCCAAAAATGCATAGAGTAGTAATGGTGCATAGTTAATTTAGCTACAAACAAATCAATAATAACATCAAGGTTATCTTTCTACAGCTTTTTGAATAACTGGGTTATATCATCAGTGGATGTTTAAATTCAAAATAGATACGAATCAAAATACAGATACAACACTATTTAGAACTAAAACTAAATCCTATAAAAATGTTATTAAGATTGAAATATGACCAGTAATAGAATGAATAAGACAACTTTGAGAACATCTTGGTAGTATATAACAAATTTTCAAAGAATACTGTGTAGCACCTCACATATATCTTGTACTTTTATCATTGTTGAGCTTGTATGCGCATGTACGCTTGGGCATTACTTGCCACCTACACATATAGTTATTTGACTAGCTGTATCGATTAACAGTTTGAATAATTCAATGTCAATATCGACTATAGATATTTGAATTAAATCCGATATTTGTATCGAGCATTAAATAATTTGAATAATAAGGAAAATGTGGCAACGACTCGTGTTCTCCCATGGAGATCATCAAGACGGATACATACAGGAACTCGAAGATAACGAAAGTCTAACGCCACAATAAATTGATGAACCCGTTGAAAGAACACAACTCATTTTCCTACGACTTCAAAGGAATACGTCTTCGTCTCCATTGGATTTATTACTGTGGACTTTAATTACGTTTGCTGAATACTATTATCGTATTTCCATTTCACGTTTATCATTTCATCCATATTGTTGAAAATATTTTGACAATATTAACATTCACACGTAACGTCATTATACACACAATTGTTGGACTGCTGCTGTTCCGTAAGTCCGTTCTGTGATGTAACATTTTATTTCTTATTAACATCATTACTGTCTATCTATTTTCCTTCCGTTATTCATTAGTCACTCTATTTGTGTATCACTTATTTGTATAAATATATCCTCAAATAACGATACATCAAGTCTGTAACAAGTAGCGTATGTCAAGTTCCATAATCTATCTGTTCCTCCTTTTCAAGTCACCGACCCACATCTATGGTTTATTAGGCTTGAAAATTACCTCTCAGTAAATCGTGTTATTTTACAACGAGATAAATGCGGCTACGCATCTGCACTGCTCCCGGACGAAGTAGCTGAAAGAGTTAGCGATGTTTTAGCTAAACCGGACCCAGATATGCCATACGACGTATTAAAAACTGCTGTCATAAAGGTCGTCTCGTTGACCAACCAACAAGCCCTACACCAACTTCTCAATCGAGTAGAACTTGGTGACAAGACTCCGTCACAGCTAAAAAATTACATGAGGAGCATAATAGGCGACAGAAAGATGGACAACAACATGTTTTATCAATTGTGGCTCCGGCGACTCCCGCAAATTATTCAGCAAATACTTGCAATTGAAGATAGAGAAGTAGATGTAGATCATATTGCGGAAATAGCTGATAAGATCTACGAAAGGATGGAAACATCGAGTTCACAGATACATCATACCACAGTTAAAACTGAAATCAAAGATTGAAACAAAGAGATTCGCCATTAATTTCAAAACGTTTCCGAGCTAAATCTGAGAGGGAGACGAAAAAGACAATCACGAAGTAGGTCTCGCGACAAATCTCGATCACGCTCTCACACACGTGCAGCACCTACGTTATGCTGGTATCACCAGACGTATAGCAACCAAGCTAGAAAATGCAGACCGCCATGCGGGTTCAAAATAATACAATAGGGAAACGGTCCCGCCGGTTGCCGGTAACGGCTGCGACAACTGGCGCAACACAAAAAAAACAGTCGTCTATTTTACATTCAGGACAGAATAACAGGTGCCCGATTTTTCGTAGATACAGGAGCTGAAATAAGCGTCGTGCCACCAGTGAGTAATGAACGACGAAATATTAATACGGCACTAACACTACAAGCAGTATACAAATCCGACATAAAAACATACGGAAAGCGAAAAATAGCTTTAGATTCCGGTCGAAAAATTTTGCTTCGATGGGAGCTTGTTATCGCAGATGTATCGGTACCTATAGTCCGTATTGATTTCGACTTATTAGTAGATTCAAGAGGAAACCAACTCTTGAACAGAGACCGTACGGTGGTGAAAAGAGGAATAATCACCGACCACGAATCTATGAATTTAGTAGTGTCAAGAGACAAAAACGATCCATATAAATCGCTTCTAAACGAATATGCTGACTTGACGAAAGTGTCTTACGATAACACTGATCTCAAACATACAGTGCAACATCACATTGTACCACGAGTCGCACCTTGTAACGCACGACCACGACGCCTAGACCCAAAAACGTTAAACATTGCGAAGCAGGAATTCGACAAAATGATGAAACTTGGTATAATACGGCCATCGAGTAGTCCCTGGGCATCTCCGTCGCATACGGCACAGAAAAAGAATGGACAGTACAGACCATGTGGAGGTTATAGAGCTCTTAATAAACAAACCGTTGCTGATAGATATCCACTGCCACATATCCATGACATTACTAACGACATGGAAGGTGCCACTATCTTTTCGAAGATTGACCTTGTTAGAGCTTATTATCATATCCCCGTGGCGCAGGAGGATATACCGAAAACGGTCGTAATCACTCCATCCGGATTATTCGAATTTTCGCGAATGCCATTCGGATTAACAAATACAGCTCAAACCTTCCAAAGATTCATCGACCAGGTTGTTAGAGGTTTGTCAGGTGTAGATGTATACATCGACGACATACTTATAGCTACTGAAACACCGGAAGAACATGTACAACAACTAAGACAGTCGTTCAATAAACTACAAGAAGACGCTATCGCCATTAACATTGATAAATGTGAATTTGGAAAGAAACCACTGCAATTTCTAGGACACATAATAAATTCTCAAGGTATCACACCAGTTCCATCAGAAGTTGCAGCCATTCGTGATTATCCGTTGCCTGAATCACAAAGCAAATTACGACGATTCCTCGGGCTAATTAACAACTATAGACGATTCATTCCAAACTGCGCAACAATATTGCAACCGTTAACAGACGCTTTGCGAGGACGTGCCCGAACATTTCACTTGTCAGCAGACGCCATACAGGCATTCGAGAACGCTAAACGCGTGCTAAATGAGAATACAATGTTAGTACGACGAAAAAACGAAGCTCTATTAGCCGTCATGACTGACGCGTCGAACATCGCTGTTGGAGCCGTGTTACAGCAGTTTGTAAACGACACATCGGAACCAATTTCATTATTTTCTAAAAGATTAAGTCCTACGCAAACAAGATACAGTAAGTTCGGAAGTTACATTTGGTGATGGAGGTGGGATTTCAGTTAGCTCTGACAGAACAATTTTATTTATTTATAAAGCTTGCTTCAAAGATTGTTAGTTTGTTAGTGAAAGACATCGCGTTATATTATCTGAGGGTTTCCTCATTAAGTACACAATTTACCGGTTAACATTTTGACAGTTAACTAAAACATCAAGCGTAAACTGATAATCAATAATCGGTAGTCAATTTATTCGTAAAACGAGTTTATTTTCACATGTAATTATTTAAACTATTTTGAAACAGTTTTTTTTTCGATTGTTTTCAATTAATTTCATCACTTAACCATAATATATATTAGAAAGTAAGGATTGTTTAAATTTATCAGCATATTTGACAACCGGTTGATGAAATTCTACGACCGTTTTATACATAATTTACAGACAATACACAGTATAAATTGTCCGAAAAGTAAACAGTAATTATAAACTGGCAATCAAGTTAATGAATAACAATTTGACTGTCAAAATAACAATGAATAAAGTTTCAAATTTTAAATATTTAACTGATGGTGAGAAAAAAACAATGATTGTTGTCATTAGATTAACATCAGATATTGAATTATTTTTGAAAATATGAATTTTGAACTAATTAAATAATGAGTGGAGTAACTCTGAAAATTTGAATGAAAAATCCGTGAAAACTACTACTCTACCAGGAACAGTGACTTTATTTTTTTCGGTAATTTTCTTTCCAACCAATAGGTTATGGGTGAGAGCCCTAATTTGTCCGGTTCAGTTGATATGGTTGAATGGTATGATTATCTCTCACACAAATATCAAGGTTCAAAGCTGATCGATTACATAGGAGGGAACTTGTTACATGTGTTACATCAGTTGACCATGCAATAATCACAATGATTATCCGATAATTTCCATGTTCAAATCTAAGGAAACATTGAGGTTTTGTAAATTGTTAGTTATCATTCACTGTTTCATTAGTGCATACCTTTTTTTCAGTATAAACACGCATATTTAAACAACTAGACATATAAATTAAATTCAAAGACTTTTTATTTATTCCTTGGTAAAATTAATGTGTCAAAATGAATTAATTGAAAAAAAAATTCTGCTTAAATATCTATTTGAAAAAGTCATACATCTTTTTCAATGTATGAACAATTCAACTGCATAGAATCATTATTCATACGAACGAAAATCATATGATACTGCTGAATAAAAACGAAATTGGAGCATTGAACGATTGAAATGATTGTGTAATTATGTGTGTGTATATGTTTTGATGTAGGATAAAGAATCCTGTGTAATTTGATCATGTATTCAGTGACTAGAATGAAGGCATAATCTTTTCAACTTTTTCTAGACTATTTATTATCTTACAAACTCTTGCACAGTACGGTAACTATCAAATCACGATGTTAAAATTTGTAATTGAATGTATTACATAATAATTAACAGTAGTGATGCCTTGCAATGTTATTGGAAATATAAAAAGAAAATTGCGAAATGTCATTAATTAGACGGATTTTGTGGAGTCTGTAATTTCTTAGCTAATGGTAATGATTGAAAATTACAGAAACGCATTTTTCCGATGCTACTTGGATAATATTCACTGTTGAAGGATTGAATTTGATCTATTAAAGAAAGTTAAAGTATCTATGAGTGTATATAATCCTGAATAGTTACA